AGGACCAACACCAGCAGAGGACATGGCACCAAACCATCACTGACTGTTGAAACTTCACTCTGGACTTCAAGCGTCGTGGATTCTGGACCTCTCCACTCTTCCTCAAGACTCTGGGACCTTGATTTTCAAATGACGTGAAGAGTTTACTTTCATCTGAAACAAGGACATTGGACCAGTGAGCCACAGTCCAGTTCTTTTTATCCTCAGCTCAGGTTCTGACGTTGTCTCCGCATGGTTCAGGAGTGGCTGGACTTCTGTGACATTTGTAGTTCATGTCTAGGATTCGTCTGTGCACTGTGTGCATGAGTTTCCAACATGAAAATTTATCACAATATTCTAATTGTCTGAGACACTGAATTTAGTATTTTTCAATATTTTTAAGCTATAATTATCAAAATTACAAAAACTAGAGAAGCATATTTCAAGCCTTTATGTGTATTGAATCTATATAATTTATGAGTTTCACTTCCTGACATGACTGTCAAAAAATATTGAACTTTTTTTGCAATACTGTATTCTAATTTTATTTTATTTTTTCAATATAACTGTAAATATAGCTGAAATGTTAGCACAAGTATTTTTTTAATGTGCATGACTGGAGGTGTAGGGGAAGTTTTAACAAGACTTCAGTAAAATCCAACACCAAAGTCCTGCTTTGAAAGTTGCCGCATCCAAAACGTGGATGAGCCTCTTTTCTGTGAATTTCAGATGTGGATCATTCCTGACAGAAAAAAACTGTAAATTCTGCGAGTGAGGGCAGCTTTCTTGGATATTGGGTGCATCATATGAGCTCATGTTTGAGCTGGAGACTTTCCTACTGCGACTACTTTCCCTGGTCATTGTGTTCTCTGCCTCGACTGCAACTTGTCCAAGGTCGTGTCAACGACGAGACGAGACTCAGTTTTGCTGCCTCGTTCTCGTCTTGTTACGTTTTCACGTATTTCCCAACTTTTTAAATATTATATCTATTTTTTTAAGACAAACTACTTTGATGCAGACCAGGAAATCAGATTAACAGCTACTGTAATTGAGATTAAAGCATGCACAGGAAGTTAAAATATGCACTTAAATATCTGTGGAACAGTTTTACCAACCTTAAATTTTCACAACAAACCAAAACTGTGCTACTTTTGCAAAATATTTTAAATAAACGATAGATCTTTTATTTACGCGTTGTTTAGAGTAAAGTATGGGAACCCTCAAAGCATGGGAACGGCTGAGAGTTAAGGCAGGTCTGTTTTCCTTCTTGCTGCCATGACTCTGATGTCATCCTAATGCCAGTCATACCACCACCCCCCTCCGCCTGCACACACTGGGCTCTCCAAACGCACACGCATAGCAGAACAAACATTTTTTTCTAATCTAGAGTATTGTGGAAAGATTAGAGGGTGTTTTTTCTAGAAGCTGGATACAAAACATAAAAGAATTACCAGTTAGTGGAAAGATGTTTGGTGACAAACAGTGGGAGAGATTTGGGAAATGATCCCAGACAAAAAATCGGTCACGTATTTCTTTCTCTCCTTGTCTCCTATAGTGTCCACCATGCCGCAGTTTGACCCGGGTTCTGGTGGAATCCTATCGAATCGTTAAAGAAATGGGTCACAAGTTTGAGATTGTGTTCGTCAGCGCCGACAGGTAAAATTCACTGCTTAGATTTGTTCATTTTTTTCACTTAACGGATCTGGAAATGATACACAAGTCTGTGTTTTACTCCAAATCAATGATTTTCCATGTTTTTGTGCTAATTTCTTGATGCTGTCCAGGTCGGAGGAGTCCTTTAAGCAGTACTTCAGCGAGATGCCGTGGTTGGCCGTTCCGTATTCGGACGAGGCTCGGAGGTCACGACTCAACAGACTTTATGGAATACAAGGTACGAGCCCGTAGTGTTCCTCAGATCACTAAGCTGAGTTTCTTTCATATTGCCAGGCTGAGTCATGTCACGAAGTTGAGAATGCTGACGCAGTGGCTGACAGCACAGATTTGCCCTCAAGCCTGAGGAATGTGGATTAGATATCGAGTTAACCGTGCAGCCGACTGCAGAAGTGCAGCGTTTCTACTTCAGTGCCTCGCTCTTTGCTCCTGATTCCCCCTCTCTGTGGATGAAGCTAGCCGGATCTGGCTGTAAGGTTTGTTCTGTGAGGAATGTGAGGAATGCACGGACGAGTCATGCACTGCAGTACATGACGGCACCCCCCACCTCTGCAAACCTCAGTCCACATGTGCAGGCAGCGCCAATGACTCGTGGTCGGATCGCTGCCTGCTGGAGTCTGTTTTTGATAAGGTTAACAAAGCTAGGGGATGTTCAATCACAAGGATCGTGGCTACAAGAAATGTGGAAAAAATTGGTCCTGGAAAAAAAAATATATATATCAGAGACGAAACTGATCTGAAGAGTAAAAAGTCACAATTAGGGCAAAAATCTGCACGAAGCGTATAAAATCTCAGCTGGAGAGGGAAACGTCTGCACCACGAAGGGATAATTGACGGAAATGACCCAAACTAACTCCCACACTCGTACCCATTTCCTCCCCTCCTCTGTTTACCTTACTCCCGCGTCACTTTCTTTTCATCCCTCTCCCTCCAGGTATTCCCACGCTGATCCTGTTGGACTCGGAGGGTCACATGGTCACGCGGCAGGGCCGGGTGGAGGTGCTGAACGACCCAGAGTGCCGTCTCTTCCCCTGGCACCCGCGGCCCGTGCTCGAGCTGAACGAGTCCAACGCCGCGCAGCTCCACGAGGGGCCCTGCCTTGTCCTGTTTGTGGGTGAGTCGATTTACGCCACATGAGCTCCACACGGGGCTCTGACAGAATGAAGTGACATTTACAACGTGGAGGATCCTGAATGTCAGACTGAGTGGGAAAAATGTTCCAGAGTCAACAGCGATGTGTGAGAAAAGGCTGCTTTTAGAGTTGTACGCTAACGCTGAATGGGCAGCTTAGCAGAATGGAAACAAGGACTGGAACAGAGCAGATTTTATGACAATATAAAGCTTGGAGAATGCACAGTGATCCTCAGAATGTGAGAGCCCTCTGGTGTCTCTTTAGGTGAAACAAAAACTGCAGAAAGAGGCTGAGACCATCTGTGCACCAGTCATCTTTCCTCCTGTGCTTCTGCTTTCACTCATCAGTGGATTTTCTTTTCTTTTTCTCCCTCTCACAGCTGCTCTTTTTCATACGTTTAACTCCGTTCTGTGACTTCTTCCTGATTTATTCAGATGCTGAGGAGGAAGGTGAACTGGAGCCAGCCAAGGAGTTGATTCAGCCAATCGCAGAGAAGCTCATGGCCAAGTCCAAAGCCAAGGAGGAGGAGACACCACTGCTGTTCTTCGTAGCCGGAGAGGTGACATGACAAGCGTCTAATAACAACCAGCACAAACCGAAATGATAACTAGAGAAATTGCACTTCCTGTGAAAATGCAGTGTGAATGCTTATTGCGGAACAATTTGCTGAAAAACAGCTGAAATTAGCTCAAAAAATAATTCTGAAATGTAGCTGAAATGGAAGAACAAGCCTAAATAAGCAGAAGAAAGCAGAAAGAACACGTATTTGCTGAATTAAGTTTAAATAAGAAGAAATTAGCACAAAAATAAGGAAATTATCCTAAACAAAGCTGAAATTAGCAACAACAAAATGACTGAAAAGTAGCTTAAACAGCAAAAAGAAGCTTAAATTACCAGAAGGAAGTGGAGAGAGCACATTTTTGCTTAATTAGGTTGAAAAAAGTTGAAATTATTGCAAAACATCTGGAATTAGCTGAAAAAGAAAGTTAGCATAAAACAGCTAAATAGTAACTGAAAGAAGCATAAAAAGCTGAAATTAGCAGAAAGAAGAAGAAGCACAAACATGTTGCATTTAATTCAGTTACATTCAGTTTATTTATATAGCACCAAGTCACAACAGAAGTCATCTCAGGGCACTATATATAAAAATATAAAAATAATAAGTTAACATGAACATATCTGAGCAGCAGACTGCTTTGAATTGAACTCCATCACAGAACTCTCATCTTGAGCAAGCATGAAGGTGACAGTGGAAAAGAAAAACTCCCTCATGGGGAAGAAACCTTTAGCAGAACCAGATCAGGACACGGTCTGCTTCGACTGACTGGGTTTGAGAGGAACAGGGATAAAAAATAAAATAAGTGCTATATGTTGTCATCATTATATGTTCCCATACAATGGTGAAATTATTTCTCTGCATTTAACCCATCACACCTGGGATACACCCAGGTGGAGCAGTGGGCAGCTTTGTAAGTGTCCGAGGAGCAATTAGGGATTGGGTGTCTTGCTCAGAGACACCAAGACAAATAGTATCAAATGAAAAATATTCAATTGTAACAATTAATTTAAGGAAACGAGGTCAATTTGTCCTCCAGTAGTCTAAGTCTATAACAGCATAACAATCCAACCCTACCTATAGTATTTATCAAAAAGGAAAGTCTTAAGCCCAGTCTTAAAACTGGACAATTGTCAACCTTATGGACAGAAACTGGAAGTTGGTTCCGCAAGAGAGGAGGCTGATAACTGAAAGATCTTCCTCCCATTCTGCTTTTGAAAACTCTAGGAACCACAAGTAAGCCTGCAGTCTGAGAGCGAAGTGGTCTGTTAGGAAAATATGGAACAGTGAGATCTCAAATATAAGATGGAGCCAAGTTGTTGAGAGCTTTGTAGGTTAGAAGTAAGATTTTGAATTACATTCTGGATTTGACAGGGAGCCAATGGAGAGAAGCTAAAACTGGAGAGAGATGATCTCTCCTATTTAAAGATGTCATGGGGGAAACATTGAGCTACTGAATTAGACGACGTAAATAAGTGTTTATTGGTTGCCCTTTGTCAACAAAAAAAAGTATTAACTGTATAACAAAACTACTTTTGTAATATTTCTGCCAGACAACAACAACTGACACATTTAAGAAAAGTTGTGAAGAATTTGAATGTCATGTAAATATATATTTTTTACTGAGTATTATTGTGAGAACGATGTTTGAGATTAAAGTGCTCATGTTATTGTGGCTGTGCTCACAAAGTGCCAGCTGTCTGTCTACCGGTTGTTGCTGAAGAAGTCAGCTTTTCTTTAATTTTTTGTTTTTCTAAAAACATCTTGCTAGTTATCCAGGTGTCACGTTTATAATCATTTTCAGATTAGGCTTATTATCCAGTGTTTATATGAATCAAAGGGTCTGATCTTTATGAGAGCGAGGCTTTCGGTTGGATCTAAAGCCCAAACATCACCTGTCTGCCTCTGTCAGGATCCTCACATGGTGCATCTTCCTTGCGTGGGAAGATGTGGAACCATGAACCACAGAGTTTAAACAACTCTTGTTTCACGTTACGTCTCAACCTTTTAAAAACTATCAGGCGCAGCAGATGTAATTACAATATTTAGTGAACTCTCCTCTGCCCCCCTCCAAATCCAAGATGGTTTCTTGTGTCGCTCGCTAAAAAAGCAGGCTCAGATTTCAGCCACAGGGTTGGCACATGTGCTCGCCGTCGCCTGCTCCGCTCCAGTGCCGGCCTCAGAATGTCAGCGTGCGCGGGACGAGAAACGCTCAGGTTTTAGGAACGGGGACAAGCCGTCTCGATGGCGTTTACTGTTGGGCGTCCGTGTGCCAGTGCTTATTTGGCGTAACACAAAGGAACGTTGTTGCTCAGGTGCTTCTCGTGTTTAAGCTGCAGTCTGTGTTGTCTTTGTTTCCCTCGTGGCACACCTGCACAGCCAAATACTTCTACACGCATGTGGCACAGATATCATTTCCTGACCTGTGATAGCTGCTGGTGATAAAATCCGGTTTGATTTCCACTCAGCTCTGGGTTTGCACCGGTGGTGTCACTGTTCTCTGCCAAGCCTGCTGCTGGGGGGACCGTGTGTTCATGGAGCTTCTTGGTCGGCCTTTCTGTCAGTCACAGTTAGCAACAGTCCATCAGGACACCCACAGATGAGTAAGGTTAATCAGTCCAAGTTCAGTCCGGTCATCTGGACGGTTTCTTCTTTGTTGAGATGGTTTGTCTTTTATCCAAAGGACTTCATCAGTCCGAGGAGCCACGAACAAACTCAGTCCCACAAGCAGCACGTTCCTATAGTGAGCCAACCAGTTTGATGGTGATAAGATGGTTTATGGGACCCTTCCTCTCCTCTGTCAACTCCTCGGAGGCAGCTATAGCCAAAGTGGTTCAAAACATCAAAGTTCATGCTCAGTAATCCAGGTAAAAAATCCAACCAAGTTCAGTCAGGTCATCTGGACAGTTTACCTGGATTATTGAGCATGAACTTTGATGTTTTGAACCACTTTGGCTATGGCTGCCTCTGAGAAGTTGACAGAGGAGAGGAAGGGTCCTATAAACCATCTTATCACCATCAAACTGGTTGGCCTACTATAGGAATGTGCTGCTTGTGGGACTGAGTTTGTTTGTGGCTCCTCAGATTGATGAAGACCTTTGGATGAAGGACAAAACGTCTCAACAAAAAAAGAAAACATCCACATGACCTTACTGAAGTTTGTTGGATTTTGTACCTGGATTACTGAGAATGAACTCTGAAGGTTAATTAGTATTTGCTGCACCAGATGTTCAGTGGATATGGTTGATTAACAGTCTTCATCACTGTGTGTGTGTGTGCGCTCGTTTGTCTGTTGAGTTTGCAAAATTTTGCATGAACCGCTGAACAGTTTTTAATGAAACTCAAAGTACTTCTTCGTCTTTTGACTTTTCCCTCTTCAGGGGTCGCCACAGCGAGTCATCCTCCAAGTCACCCGGTCCATGTCTTCTCTAACTGCATCCATTTATCTCACAGGATGTATACTTCCTGTTTAGTGTCAGCTTGGTTCAATATGGCTGCCATAGCAGCAATTCTTACAGATCCTGAAGGAATGAAAACGCAGACCGAACGTAACAACCTGTGACAGATTTTACCATTATAAAGTATTTTTTGTATTTGTTCCAGTGGGACCATTAGGACCCGAATCTATTATTATTAGTATTATCACCTGTCACCGTAAAAGAGCGATCATGTAAGGAAAACAATCGCAGGATATAGCTCTACAACTAATTACCTGGTGGAGAGAATTTGATTCAAGATGGTTGCCACAGTTCATGGCTATAACTGTCCATTTTACTAATATTGAGCTAAAATTTGGTGTGGTAGTAGCTAAGAGTCATACCCAACAGATGCAATCAGCAGTAACGGATCACAAGATCTTTGTTTAAAGTTTTGTCATTAAGTGTTTGAGTCAAGCACGTCTGTCATAATGTCTCATAAAACAGTTGAAGGGTTTTAATAAAACTCAAAATGTAATATCTGGATTTCACAAATGCAGCTGTTCCTGGTAGTGGTGTCCTGATACTGATGCCAGTATCAGTATCGGGCCAGATACCGGCCTCAAGTGGTATCTCTGAGCAAGACACCCAATCCCTAATTGCTCCCTGGGCGCTTACATAGCTGCCCACTGCTCCACCTGGGTGGATCCCAGGTGCGATGGGTTAAATGCAGAGAACCAATTTTGCCATTGTCTGGGAACATACAATGATGACAACACATAGCACTTATTATTATTAATATTGTACTTGTACTCTAAAAACACTCTGATACTTTAAACTGATACCACATTTATGCTTGGTGACATCATTTCCTCTTCCACGTCACCAGTAACGAAGGACAAATAATAATAAATGCCCAAAGTTCAGATATTTTAAGATAAACACTTATGACGGCAGACCTTAAGCTGTGTTCTTAATAAAAGAAATCTGTTTATAAAGACTTCGTGTAATGTTTAAGTACTACCTCATTTTCTACTCGGTATTGGTACTTGGTATCGACAAGTACCCAAACTGAAGTACTTGCACCCGGTCTGAAGAAACTAGTATCGGGACACCCCTAGTTCCAGGATCTGTCAGTGACCTTTCCTCGGGCTCAGAGGCCAGAGGGGTTTGTTATTTCTATCAGATCGTCATCGTGTGAGAAACGCCACAGTGATCCAGATAATCCTGACACGGCTCAGCAGGTCCCACACGGTAAACACATGCTGAGCCTTATCACAGCTGTGGGTGCGGGCGGCAGCAGAGAGGCCTTTTGTCTTTTTTGTTCTGGGCTGAACTGCAGAGGGCGGGGGGGTGCAGGCCGAAACCTCACGAGAAGCGGTTTGCACGAGCGAGGGAGTCGCACAAAAGAGGATGCGTGACTTCCCATGGAGGTCAAACACCGATGTGGTCTTCTATCAGAGAGGCCACAGAGGCAGATTGTACTTTGTAGATTTTATTTTGTGTCTCTGTGGTTTCTTTACTCCTCATGTCCAGATCTACAATCTATGCTCCGTGTGGCTGCACGAGATCCTGACAGGGAAGGGTTTTGTTTGT